GGGGATGTGGTAGCATCTCCTGCGGTCCCCTATCTGTATCCCCCATATTTCCTGGTGGGATTTCCCCAGCCACGGGATTTCCTGGCGAGGGAAGGTGATAAAAGAGAGGGCTGGGAGAGCCCCAGGGCCCCACGCCACAGCCCTGGGAGAGGGGACAGGGGGACACGGGGGCTGGTGGCCTGTCCCCAGCAGCTCTGCTCCTCGCCACGTTCGGTGGCCAAGCCTGGAGCCAGAGCTGTGAGTGCTGGCAAGGAGGACTCCCATGAAACGGGGGAGAAAGGGAGGAAAAGGGTGTTTTTCAGCTACTGGGGGACACACAGGGCCGCCCCAGAGCAGAAACCAGATCTGTTCATCACTGTGGTGAGTCTGCCCACATCCCGTCTCCTTCTCTGCACCAAACACGGGAGCGCTGATGAGCTGGAGGGACGTGAAGATCAATTTCCCTTAAATTCATCAAAAGCCCAGGCGCTCCCAGGTTTGCCTCTGGCCCCTCTGAGCCCCCATGGACATCCCCGGCTCCAGTGCCAGGTCTGTGCAAGCCCAGTAAAGCCCTGTCCTAGCTGATGTGGGGAAGTGAAAGGGGGGTAGATATTCCTCCTGAGATGCAGGGGAGCCCTGGGGACCCCAGAGTGCTCAGGGGCTGCCAGCTCCAGGGGCTCAACCAGGGCTGAAAATCCCCCGTGCTCCAAAATCCCCAGTCCACAGTGTCTGCTCACCCCACGGGGCAGAAGCCAGCACCAGAGCTCGGGACAGAGGGATGCTGCAGGTGCTGGGAATGTCGTCCCTGGAACTCCCTGGCCTGATGTTTTGTTTTGCATGGGAGTCTTTAAAAAGGGGCCTTTCCCAGTTCAGTAAATCCTCTTCTGTTTTCCTTCTGCTTCTGTTCCATTTTCTTATTGTGGGGAATATTTTCTACCCTGAGGAGGCCACGTTTACCCCAGCTGGGCCAGGAGCTCCTCGGTGCGTGGGTTTAAGAAGGGGGACGAGAGGAAGAGGATGGATCCAGGAAGCAAAAGGCAAGCCAGGCAGCTGCACTGGATCAGGACAAGTCATCTGCCTTCCTCCACTGCCCCGGGGTCTCCCTCAGGAGAGATTAAATTGGAGTTGGAGTGATGACATGAGGGTGTTCTGCTCCGCCCGCCGGGCACAGACACATGAACCCCCACCTTGTCCTCACCTGCCAGCCATGGGGCATCACCCGGCCCCACTTGCTGCACCTCACTTGCAGCGCCCCGCTGTCACCCAGCACATGCACTCCCAAAAATCGAGGCTGATTTCTGGGAAATGGCTTTGGAGAAGAGCAGATGGAGAGACACGTGTGATCCCACCGTGGAGGTGGCTGCCATTCACAAAGGGGCAGGTCCCTGCCTGGACCAGCACCCCATGCCCTCCCCAGTTGGATCTCCATGGTGGGGCTGCGCTGCAGCCCAGGGTGGCCAAAACGCTGACGGGGTGTCCCCGGCGTCCCCAGCCCCGCACGGCGGGATGTGGTCTGCCCATACAGCCGGGCTGGCAGGGATGCGTGTCTGCATCTTCCTGCTGCTTCCCACCATCCACCAGCTGCCAGCAGCTGGGGTGTGCCTCAGGGTTTGCTGGGGCTGGGGGGAGAAGGGGATTTCTGGACAGCTGCAGCCGGTCAAAATTCACTGCGGAAGCCCAAAACTGGCCTCTGCCTTTCCCAGCCCAGCATGGCCAAGAATATGAGCTGCTGCATCAGTGTCGGAAGGAGGGAAGCGGAGCCATCTGCTCCATCAGGCCCAAACTCAGCACAAGGACAAGTATGTTCCTAGTGCAACCAAACAGAAGCTGTTTCTCTGTGGCTTTTTTTTTTTTAGGAGTGATGGTATTTGGCCGTTTGTTTGTCCCCTGGGATGGAATGCAAAGCCATAGGATGAAAAACTTTGAGGTGCAGGGGGAGGACACAGACCATGTGGCTGCTTGGCATCCTGCAGGGTGCTGAGCCTGGCCCTGGCCCCAGCTGGGGAAGATCCCCAGACCCTCTTCCCCACCCTGGGGCTCCTGCCATGGGGCACACAATCTGCCCAGAGGATGAAGATATGGAGCCAAACTTTGGGGGAGCACCCTGGCCCCCGGCCCTGACACTGGAGGCAGGAGCTCAGAAAAAAATCCCAAGCCCATTGAGGGCTAAAAGCACGGCCCAGGAGCAGGTTTTTCTCTTCCCACGGCTGTGCTGGAAGGGGATGAGCATTGCTCACCCTCTGTGCTTTGGGACGTGGCAGGGGCCCAGGTCCTCCCCCTGCCCAAGCAGCTGACCCCACTGCTCCCCCATAAAAGCAGCCCGGCAGCCCCG